GATTGATTATATACAAATGCAATACCGGTAACATCAATGTTTATTGATGACATAGTCTCCAACTTGATGAGCAGTGAATAAGATGTTGAGATTTACAGACAAATCACTATCAAAGATTATATTTATAATATAATCACAGAGTTGTGCACAATTAATATTTGAAATGACATTGAAACATCTACAATCTGAAAAATCTTTCAAAATAAAAGATTTCTGTGATTGGTTTTTTGCTCACTATTAGCCATTTCATGAGATGTGAAGGTTCCACATAGACTAGTTAGTTTATTTTTCACATGTAATCCTCCTCACAAAAGTCATCAAAATTCAATTTTCTTGAATTTTGACTCTTTTCTTCTCTGTTTCAGCTGCATCAAGAGCATCTGCTTTAACTTTTGCTCACATTCTTTTGCTTCATTGTAGTGTGTAACAGGCACCCATCCCTCACTTCCAACTCCAATTTGTCAATAGTGCAACTAAATCAGCCTTCAAGGTCACATTGTCACCCTCCCAAGGGTCATTGACATGCTGAAAAATTGCTGAAATGATAGGTCAAGGCATCATAATATTAGCTCAGAATTATTATCCGCGGTTAATTTGACGTAGAAATAGTGAAGTTGACACTTGCGGAAAATTTCTGCATGCTGGAGCTGTTCTATCCCTTTTAGTTCATCGAAATTGTTTGGTAAACGAGGGGTTTGCAGTGATTCCGAGATCTCGTCACCGTAATTCTGAAGACTTTGTGGAATACCGCATTGCAGAAATAGTGGAAGAACCGCACTATGTTGCCAATCGATTAACCCTTTGATTTCTAGCTCATTGGAAACAAATATGTTGTTGGGTTGAAGATCGGGATGTCGGATGACCGGACGATGAAGAGCAGGACAATCACGCGGTATAAGGTGAGGCGCAATTTGCAGGTATTTCTCCAGATTCGCAATAAGTTCGAGGTGGGATTGGGGCCTTGTAATTGTACATCTCTCTGCGAAGACGCTGAAATGGCTGAAGAGCTCGTCCAAATCTTTTGAGATACGCAATATCTTTCGTGGCTCCGCCAGTAAGAACCACTAAAGAATCTCTGTCTTCCTAGAGTTAACTATTAACGTCTTCTGTATTTGGATGTTCCAATCTGACAGATACGCACATGGTCCGCGCTCAACCGAAAAGTCAGGTCTTTTCCCATAATATAATCCGGGTGAAGTATCGGGGCCAATAC